GTGAGACAGAAGAGGTCTGCTTCACCATGTGGGTAGCTCCCTGGCCAGGGATTGAACTCGTGCTGCGGTGGCTGCAAATAGCTTCATAGGTTGCTTCTTAACCCCTTGCACCACCAAGGAGTCCCTATATATAGTCTTTTTTTAAACTCTCAATAAATATTCATTCCTTAATGCATAGAAAAATATATCCAAATAAACCTGTGTATAGTTTTAATTCACTCCTCTGTCTTTGGGAGCTTAGGTTCTTCCCTTAGCTTGGTTATTGTAAGTAATAAGGCAATAAATATGAGCGCACATACATTTATTTGTGTTCGTCTTTGGGTAGACACCTAGGAGTGGAATTGCTAGATCATATGGTAGACCATTTTTTATATTTTGAGAAACCTCAAACTATTTTCATAGGGGTTGAGTCAGTTTCTGGTTTTTGATATGGACCATTCTCCGAGGTGTGAGATGAAATCACAACCTTATTGTGGTTTTGATTTGCATTTCTCTAGCAATAAGTGATGATGAGCATCTTTCTTTTTGCTGACTTGTGAGTTCTTCGTCAACCTTTGATAACAGTCCCTTGACAAATGTATGGCGTACAAATATTTTTCTCATTATTAGGGTGTCTTTTGGTTTTGATTACTGTTTCATTCCCTGTGCGGAAGTGTTTTAGTTTGATATAGCCCCAATTTTTTATAATCTATTTTGTTTTTCTTGCTGTTAGACATGAATCTACAAAGGTATCACTGAAGTCTCTGTGATGGAACATTTTGCCTATGTTTTCGTTCTATGTAATTTTATGATTTAAGGTCTTATATCCAAGTCAATGAATATTGTAATAATTTACTATATTATTACATGCTTGTTATTTGTAGTTAAGGTTCATCTAGTAATCTTATTGTCAAATGAAATTGTTATGCAGTCATTGGAGAATGATATTATTAGTTCTGAGAAACATAAAAAAAAGCCCTTAGTATGATTAATAAAATGACAATTAAAAAGTGTTACAATATCACTTAGTAGAATAATCTTTAGCTAGCATTATCAGTCTTCTGTTGTAAGTACAGGAGGTATTATGGAAAGATATTTGCCACAATAGAGTACAAAAAAACAAGATATTTTGCAAACTTTAAATTTTTTTTAAAGCTTTATTTATTTATTTGTTTATACAGGCACTGGGTATAGTCAGAAGTGCGGGAGGGTGAGAGAACTCACCAGAGCCAGAGCGGGGAGCAGTACAGGCAGAATGATGAAGTACACTGCTGAGGGGAGCAGCATGGGACCCTCGCCGGGGGCTGGGGATTGAACTGGCGCTGCAGAGGCTGCAGGCAGCCTCATAGCCCAGTGCTCAACTGCTGCACCACCAGGGAGGCACAAACCTTAAACTTTTTAAAACCCACTGATGTCTAAGGTCATTGAGCAACCAACACACAAGTACAGAGTTACAAGACATGGAATTCCATTGCATGAACTGTGGAAGAAAATAAATTTAAAAAATATTCAATGTAAGAAATATACATTAAATGGAACTTCCCAATATCAACACTATTGATATTTTGCACTGGATATTTTTGCTGTGGGACACTATCCTGTGCTTACATGTTATTTAGCATTATTTATGGACTGTACAACTAGATGTCAGCAGCAGTCTTTTGCACTTGTGATAACCAGGATGGTCTCATGTATATGTGGAATGTAGAGAATAATTACAAGGGTTCAGTCAACACCAAACCAATAATAACCATTCAACATCTGACTGCAAAACGGAGGCATGCAGAGGGGAATGATAATGGGATGGTAGTGGGGGAAGGAAGGGACCCAATAGAACATGCGGAGGATGTTGAGGGCACCAGTGATAGGCAGAGTTGAAAGTAGACATTTGTAGAAATTTGTACCTATATCCCCTGGGGCAGATACAATGATTTAAACCTACTTTAATCTTAATAAACATAAGGTAGGAAAAAAGAAACACCCCTTTCTGATGTACCACCCTGGTGAAGAAGCTATTTCCTCATCATCACTCTGTACCATCACTTATTTCTGGCTAAATGAAACTGCTTTGTCCCCACATTTCATCTTCTTCTTTAAGTTGGGTTTCTCTGATTGCTGTCTTTCTCTTATTTGATGTCTTTTCATCATCTCTACTGCCATAAAATGGTAACTCATTTGTAGTTTTGGGTTAATTGTCATTTTAATTCACCCACAAAGACTTCTTCTTCCTTAGTTTAAACAGCTTAGGAGAAGCTGCAACAGTTGGGCATCAAATTGATGGCTTTTGAGAAAGTAATGCAGAAAGAAACTCAAGTCATAACATGCATTGTGAGCTGTGTGTTCTTCAGCTCCCCCTCCACCAATTTTATTTGATCATCTTGCTCTGCAGAAAATCACTCCTGTTCCTACATTCCTTTAAAAAATAGCTATTCTCTTAGCTGTTTATTATGAAAAGTATATGAGATATTGCTTGCATAATGTTGAGATTAGATTCTAACACGTAACAAGTATCCAATAAGTGCAAACTGTTTCATGGTTTTCTGAGCACTTAGTTTATTTTTCCCCCAGTATTTGATAGAATTCTGCTGTGGCTCTAGTCACTGCCCTGCAGAAATTTAGGTACCTTTGTAATGAGGTCAGTCATAGAAAATGTTCATTTTATTTCTGAAAGCCACTATGAGGTATGGCTCACAGAGGTGACACCAGAGTGCAAATGTCATCATGTGCTCAATGTAACATAAAAGTAGGCATGTTGGAATTTAAACAACTGCTTTACAAATTTAGGGTATTAAAAAATAGGCTGGTATTCCATAGAGATTAATTATTGTCTGTGCTTTATATCTCATGTAGTATTCTTTTAATTCCAATGTCTTTTTATACCATAGAGAGTAAATATGAATTTGAGACATGAGGGGCCAGTTCCCAAGGGTTTACATCAAAGTATAAGTCTCTGAGAGTGTACTGTGCATACCTAACATCTCCAGCGCCAGAGAGATGTCTGTCACTCAGGTTTGTTAGCTAGAACTTCGCCTAGGTTATTTTAAAATAAAAGTGAATATTTTTCCCTACTTACTGATTATTTTAAAGATATACCTAATTCATCTGTTTTCTAATGAGAGACTGTTTTCACAGAATTCATATTCCCCTGCAATTCCTGTTTAAAATGCTTTTGTCTTTTAGTATTTGGAAAGAATTGATGAAATTAGAACAATTTTCTCTAGAATATCAATTGCGTGCGCGCACACATACATGCACACACCTCCCTTTTCTAACTTTTCCACACTGATTACTGTCAAAATCTAGAGTGTATGACTGTGTATGAGCTCTATAATTGTTGCTCTAATTCTGAGAATTGAATGCTTCTCAGTAACTCAGGGAAAATTGGAACATGTGAACTATTTCTGCTTATTAAGTGAGGTTAATTTTTTGGATTTGTCGTGGATTTACCATAAACTGGCTTCTTATTATTATCCTAGAACATTAGGAGAACCTCCTCCGAGTGAGCTGATTTTCTTGTTTAACTGTAAATTAGACAAATCTCTATTTTTTTTTTTGATCAGGTAATGAAAATATCATGACTTCAGGAAAAAAAATATATTCATTTTTTAAAAATTACTTCAGGATATGGAAAAATATGGTATATGTTTCCAGTCCAGAATGACTTTACTCAATTTTCATTACACATTGCATATGATATCATGGGTATATTCTTACTGCTGGCTAGAAAGGAGGACAGAGAATAAAATCCCTCAACATCTATTTACCTGTTCTTTAAGGACAAGTCTGAATGGCTGATTCCACTTCTATGGAATGCACAAAGTAACCACTTCCCCAAGCAACAATTTGAGAGAACTCTGGAAAGCTCCAACCTGCCTCTTTTTTAATATGGATAAAGGATTCATTTTTCTGTAATTGTAGCCAAATCAAAGTGACAACACATACCACTATCATGCATTCACATGTCTAAGTACACATCTTTATTTATCTTGCTCTATCGATCTATCTATCTATCTATCTATCTAATCTATGATATCTATCATATGTATCCTATGTATAAGCACATTAATAGATATCATTTTTGAACAAATTAAGCATCTCCAAAATGTAATCCAAAATAGCATGATGTCTTTCTATTCTACATATCATACATGATAGTTTAACAATTACTCTATTTTTGACTACTTCTCACATCATCAATATTATAAACAATGTTGTAATATAGTCTCATACACTGGCTTCATGATTTCATCAATGTAATTTAAATAATGGTTATAAGAGTTTATTAAGCATAAAATCTTTCATGAAAGTATCATATAGCTTTTACTGTTGTAAAGGTTAAGAGTTTAGATCTATGTTGCTTAATTGCTTTCCAGAAAAAGTACATAGGAGTTATATCTTTCTGTACCATTATTGACATTAATCACTAATACTATAATTACATTACTCTGTTAATTTGATGTGTGAAAATCATGATGGTTTTCAGTATTTTAATTTTCTTTTCATTGTGCATATTTTCAAATTGAAAGTTGATATAAACCATTAATCTCAAAGAAATTAGTTACATTTTGCAAGAAAGGCGTAGTATAGGACCTCATCTGCTGAGAATTTATGCAGTTGATATTTACTAAAATATTAGTGTGTATTATTAGGGTCACATTGCTGTTACCCTGTGTGGATAGAACTTACTGCCTTTTTAAGGGCATGGGAGTTGCTTTCTACATGACATTTATGTATATCATTTTATCTACTTCAAAGTCCTTCGAATCATCTGTGTTTTAATTTATCTACTGAATTTTTTGTGGTGGATAAAATTTGGGAATCAAATAGTTTTCCACAGGTACTTAAACTATCTTTGATCACTTGGATCCACTGACATGTTGAACGTTTTAATTGTTTCACAATGGTATTTCAAATATATCATATTTGATAAGAACTTTATATATTTTACATCAATGAGTTGTTTTTTCTCTTCTCAGAAGGAATGTAAAACATACCATTTGGTTTACCAAACCTGACTTCTAATGGTAATGGAGGAGGAGAACTGTACCTCTGTGACAGAGTTCATTCTTCTTGGATTATCAGATGCCCCTGAGTTGAGAGTTTTTCTTTCCCTACTGTTCATTTTCATCTATGGATGCACAGTTTTGGGCAACCTGGCAATGATTGCACTAATTCGAGTGAGCTCTCGACTTCACACCCCCATGTACTTTTTCCTTAGTCACTTGTCTTTTGTGGATTTTTGCTATTCCACAGTAATTGTGCCAAAAATGCTGGCTAATATCTTAAGCAAGGAAAAAGCCATCTCCTTCCCAGGATGCATGGTGCAATTCTATCTGTTTTGTACATGTGTAATCACTGAAGTCTTCCTGCTGTCAGTGATGGCTTATGACCGCTTCTTGGCCATCTGTAGCCCACTGCTATACATGGTCTCCATGTCCCAGAAAGTCTGTGTGGCTTTAGCTTCCGGCTGCTACCTCTTTGGAAATGTGTGCTCTTTGATTCACTTGTGTTTAGCTCTTAAGATCCCATCATATAAGTCAAATATAATTAACCACTTCTTTTGTGATCTACCACCCATCTTTACTCTTGCTTGCTATGACATCTCTCTAAATGAACTCATGGTGTTCATTGTGGCCACATTCAATGAGATCATCAGCATCATGATCATTCTTACCTCCTACTTGTTTATTCTCATCACCATCCTGAGGATACGCTCCGCAGAAGGAAGGCGAAAAGCTTTTTCTACTTGTGCCTCCCACCTCACAGCCATTGTTGTCTTCCAGGGAACAATCCTTTTCATCTACTGCCGGCCCAGTTCTGACAACAATCCGGATACTGACAAAGTGGCCACAGTGTTCTACACCGTAGTGATTCCTATGCTCAATCCCCTGATTTATAGTCTGAGGAACAAGGATGTGAAGGAAGCTCTCAAGAAAGTGTTGGGATCTAAATTACCTTTACGATAACTATTTTCTTAGCTACTTTCAGAGTTTCATCAGAGATTTTTATGAGGACTTTGATTTAGGTAGATCAATGGAAAGTAAAATAGATAAAGATTTTACGATCTGGGGACTATACATGTTTTCCATTTGCTTATCTTATTAAACCATATCTTACCCCTTTTATTGGACAGTTGAAATGTATCAGCTACTTTTACTGTTCTTCTCTTTGAGTAGGTTTTGGGATTGGTACTAATAAAATTAATTTTCTTGGCATAAGATACCATCAACATATTTCTAGCAATGCAATAATTTGCATCATCCTTAATGCATGCACCCCTTCTTCATTAAACAGACTCCATTTTCTTTAACATGGAATGTAAAGGAAAGGTCTTATAGTCTTTACTTTTTTATGAAAATATGGAGTGAATTTCATATGTGTTTATGTGTAATTCTTGGTATTATTTTAGTCAGCTTTGCTTCCTTTTTATTGATTTTTTATATTGCATTACAAGTTTATAATTTTTAAGTAGAGGTAATAATGCTCTACTTTTTAAATAAAATTTTCACAAAAATTAAATGGTGTATCTTAGGTTTTTAGCACTATACCTATAACTTTTGAACAAATTATCTGCTTTTATTGATATTTTCTAACTTTATTATATGTTGACTCTTGATTGAACAAATAAATCATGTATTTGGTACAATATCTTTTTAAAATATCCATCTCCTAGTTAACAATTTCATCACTTTTCCTGATATTATTTTAAACATTCACCATATAGTCTAGATCTTCTAGTTTCCCATGACTTCTGAAGTAAATTATTGCAAATTTAATGATCTAAAACAGTATACCTTCATTGTCCTAGAATGATGGATGTCAGACATTTTAAATCGATATCATGTGTTCAAAACCAAGGTGTCAGCAGAACCACACTCCCTCAGTATGTTCCAGGGGACAATCCTTTCCTATTGCTTCCAGCTTCTAATGGATGTTGGCTTTCTTTGGCTCGTGGTCCCATCACTTCTATCTTCAGGGCTGGTATCTTTCAACATCCCTTCTCTCCATCTTTATTACATTTCTCTCTCTCTCTCTCTCTCTCTCTCTCTCTCTCTCTCTCTGTGCATGTGTGTGTGTGTGTGTGTGTGTGTGTGTGTATGAGAGAGAGAGGGAGAGAAAGAGAGAGAGAGAGAGAGAGAGAGAGAGAGAGAGAGAGAGAGAGAGAGAGAGAAATGGTCTCTCACCTCTGTTTTAGAAGGATACTTTTGTGGACCTTTCCAGTCTACCCAGATAATGCAAGAAAACGCCCTCATCTCAAGAGCATTAAGCTAACCATGACTGCAAGCAATCTTCCTGCAATAAACTAGTATTTACAGATCCCAGAGTATTGGAACCTGGTCTATACTAAATTCCATTTTTAAGCTTAACACACCCATTTTTTAAAGGTAGAATTATTATTTATCTTTCTTATGTTCCTACATGTTAACATTTCATTTGTTTTCCTCCTTAAGATTTCACGCCCTGTTTGCTATTGTATTTATTTTTAAGAGTCATGTAAATGACTCTTAGGTTATTGCTGCCTTAGCAAAGTAAGATAGGCACTCAAGATTAAATACTTGGCTGGGTTCAAATTCAAACTCTGAGGAGTTTTTTTTTTTTTTTTTTTTTAAAGATTGATTTATTTATACAAGAACCGGGGTACAGGCCAGATGTGGGGGTGGGGGGAGAGAGAGGATTCACCAGAGGCAGAGCGGGGAACAGAACAGGCAGACTGACTGAATACACTGCTGAGGGGAGTAGTAGGTGAGACAGCAGAGGTCTGCTTCACCATGTGGGATTCTTGCCGGCTGTCTGGGATGGAACTCATGCTACAGAGTTCTCAGCTTCACAGTGCGGGCTCAACTGCCTGCGCCACCAGGGAGGCCCTCTGATGAGTGTTTTTTGAGGAAGATGTTTAAACTTGCTTAAACTCAGGTGTCTCAAATATAACTGGGATTAAACTGCAGCCTCAGACATTTATTGTTGGACTTAAACTTAAGGAAAAACTGCAAGGATCTGGCCCATGTTGTGAACCCTTAGTAATGTTTTTTAAAAAGAAATCCTTGAAGGCAATAACAATTTGAAATATTCTAGTAACTCTGGAAAAGACAGGTATTCATTGTTTCTTTAAATAAATAGCAATGATGAAAAGAATGGAGTTATATTGTATTCATGATGAAAATGTAGTGCTGTATTGGTTGTCCAGTGTTTTCAATGGTGCAAGATTTCCCACATTACGGATGAAACTGTGGCTTTTTTAGATAAGGGAAACACCTTTTGCCTTTGGTTCTCCAAACAGAACAGGGTCTCTCAACATTAACACTAGTGCTGTTTTGAACTGTACTGTGAGACCTGTCCTGGGAATGATAGAATGTTAAGCAGAATCCCTGGTTTCTATGAATAGCACCTTCATCTTCCTCCCCTACCCCCTCCACATTTGCAATAAGTGAAAAATATCTCCAGACATTAACACTGGTTAAATCAAGTTTAGGTAGTGAATACCATCATCTAGTACATGGACAGTATTCTACCATTTTGAGGGTCAACATAATCTTTCTTTCAGACATTCTCAAGATGAAGAAAAACAGAGTAAAAACTGTCTTTGCAAGAAGGTGTAGTGCATATAAATCAGTGGTGATCTGGGTCTCTGGCCAATGTGATTTTCATAGGAAGAGTTAATGGCAGCCTGAGGGTGATGAGAACCAAGTGCTTCCTCCTATACTGAACAGGCATATTATCTGAACTGCATGTGTTCATCGCAACAGATAGAAACTGATTCTGTTGCAGCTAAGTAATCCTGGGTTAAGGCTGCAAGGATAGCTTAAAATGATGAGGTATTGGGCCTCCCTGGTAGCACAAGGGGTTAAGCACAGCACTGTGAAGTTATCAGCAGCCTCTGCAGCACAAGTTCAATCCCTGGCCAAGGAGCTGCCCACATGGCACAGCAGACCTCTCCTGTCTTGCCCGCTGCTCCCCTCAGCAGTGTAGGTCAGTAGATCTGCCTGTTCTGTTCCCTGCTCTGTCTCTGGTGAATCTTCTCTCACCCCACTCCCCGCACCTCTGGCCTGTACCCCAGTTCTTGTATACATAAATAAATCTTTAACAAAATAAAATTAAAAAAAAATAAAATGATGAGGCATTGGCACTGGAGGCTTGGTGGGGGTTGCTGCTGCATATATGGGAGTGTAAAAATGTAGCCCCAAATTATATGGATATATAAATGACTGACAAATTCATAAAAGTAAATAAAATTTTTAAAAATTAAATGAGGTACTCTGGGATTAATTATATAAATTTATTTCACGGCCAAGTCCCACACTACTGGGACTTAGAACAGTAGTGTGGTTTCAGGCATCTGGGCTGGTTTCAGCAGACTGGGAATGCTGTGGCAAGCATGGCTAGCTGTTAAGAAACTTCTCTCTTATAATGTTTGAAGTACAAAATATTCAATACTCATTTTAGCATGTATAAAACTAATGAAGAGGACATAAATGAAAAATCGTATGAAACCCAACATTTTATCCTGTGGTACCACAGAAACATCTCTCTCTAAATAAGAATGAAGACCAGGCCAGGAAAAGACCAGACCAGACCAGGGTGGACAGAGAGCTAACACACAGCCTAAGGTTCCTGTCTCCCTGTTCGATTGACACTGACAGGTGGGCAAGAATAGGAAAAGCTGTATCTGCTTCCTGACATGGTACTGTGAAGAAGCCCTGTTTATTCAGAACCAGGGTTAAGTCTCTGGTAGGGAATTATTGGCTAAAGTTACACAGATAAATAAATGATTACATGCAGTTTTGAAAGAAATGCTATCTCACTTCAAAACCTAGTTCTGATCTTAAACACTCTCAATTATTTTCTTAAAATGAATATGATAGAAAACCTTGATTATTCTGACCAGGTATAAAGACTATTAAATCAGTGCATTTAAAGGTAAAGGTAAAAAACATAGTGAGAAATATCTTGTTTTTTCTTTAAACATATATGTGAAAGATGCCCAGAGAATCTAATTTTATAAAACATGCATAAGTTCAATTTTTAAAAATATAAGTAAATTGAATACATCTTAAATAAGGTATACTGAATTGGAAAGAAGTTTGAATAGTGATCGAAAGAGTCTGTGATATATTCTATGAAAACAAATTACTTAATAGTATTAAAGAAAATAACTGAGGTAACAGAATTTCTTAACTCTGTTCACTCAATAAAACAAGACAAATAATCTAAAAACTCTGTTTCTAATGTTTTGCTTCATTCTTATAATGTTTGAAGTACAAAATATTCAATACTCTTTTTTGCATGTATAAAGCTAAGGAATAAGACATAAATGAAAAATCTTGTGAAACCCATCATTTAGTCCTGTGGAACCACAGAAATATCCTGCCATACTTTACCTTTGACAACAACCTAAATTAAAATAAATACCCCTGAGAACATGAAATCCTGTTATCATTTTCATAACTGTGTTAGTTGCTAGTTGATTGGTGGGGAAAACAGTGATGTTATTGGAATAGCTTATAGGATAGCTTTATTAGAAAATTCTAGTCCCCAAGCACTCAGCCATCACCATTATCAGAATTTAATTGAAAAAATGGTTCTAGTTTATTTTACAGAAAGACACAGAGCAAATATAAATCATTGCAACAGGAAAACTAATAAAAAAATCGTTTTTTTTTTCCATTGACCAAGTGTTAATAACTCTTCCATTATAACATAAGCTGTATCAATTGGGCATTTATTTCAGTGGTGGTGTTTTAGTTTTAGCTAATGTGGTGCCATGAATAAACCATGGGGCATGGAATCCTTTTTTGAAGTGGCCTTTGGGGAATGTCCAGGCATTTACTTTCAACTTCCATTGCACTTTGAGGACAATTGCCAATAGCATATATCTGTTCATTGAAGTAGGTGACAAGGAAAATCCACATGCTGATGTAAGACAATTTGGGGTAATTAAAATAGAGATTTGCTTAGGGGGGAAGTGTGCTGATGGGGCCAAAGAAGAGGAAGAGAGGTCTTTGGATCCAAATATCCCTCTCCCTCATACATTTTTCAGCCTAAACCAAAAGACAAAAAGTGAAGATTATTTCATCTAAGATGAACATACTGGGATATAATTAAATAAGATTTTTTTTCTCTTGGTAATACACAAACTTATTTTTGCATCTGTTTTCTAAGCTATACTCATTGATTTATTTAACACATGTATTTAACATTTATTTAACACATTTATTTAACACATTTATTTAACGTACTGTACTGAATATTGTGAATAGCAAAACAAAGAATTGTTAGAGTGGCACAAACTTTACATTTATGGAACTGTAGAACTGAATATTTCTTATTTATTCTTATCTATATTACCGCTTACATATTCCTAAGTACAAATTTCAATAATTACTGCAATCCAGGATCAACTTAGATACAATCATAATGGAAAATATCAAGAAGTATTATAGGTGAGACAGCAAAACTATGCCACAATACCTGAACTGAACTCAGAATTTTAAAATACTTTTGGGTGAAAAAGGAGTTTCACCCTGAATGTGATTCAGTACCAATTGCTTTCTTCAGGGCACCCTTCACATCCTTATTTCTTAAGCTGTAGATGAGTGGGTTTAACATAGGGATGATAACTGTGTAGAAGACTGAGGCCATTTTGTCTGTGTCCATGGAATAACTCGAGCTGGGTCGAAAATACATGAACAGCAGTGTGCCATGAAATATAGCTACAGCCATCAGGTGAGAGGCACACGTAGAGAAGGCTTTGCGTCTCCCCTCGGCTGACTTCATTCTCAGGATGGTAACGATGATGTAGCTATAGGAGAGGAGAACGGTGATGATGCTGGACCCCACAACACAGCCAATGAAGGTGAACATCACTATCTCATTAATCGATGTATCTGAGGTGGAGAGGGCTAGAATCGGTGGGATGTCACAGAAAAAATGATTGATGATATTGGAAGTACAGAATGACAATCGAAATGCCAAACAGGTGTGGATTGCTGAATCCACCAAGCCCACTGTGTAGGAAATGACAACTAACTGGGTGCAGAGTTTCCTGGACATGGCAACTGTGTACAGGAGTGGGTTGCAAATGGCTACATACCGGTCATAAGCCATGACAGCCAGCATGAGGCACTCCAAATCTGCAAAAGCACCAAAGATATACATCTGAATGGGACATAAATTATATGGGATCCTCTTTTGTTCAGATAAGAAATCAGCCAGCATCTTGGGAGAGACAGAGGAGGAGTAACAGATATCACAGAAAGACAGATTGCTTAGGAAATAATACATGGGCGTGTGGAGTCTGGAGTCCACCTTGATCAGCAGGATCATTCCTAGGTTGGCGATCACAGTGATGCCATAAACCAGCAGAAAGAACACAAAGAGCCCCTGTTGCACATCCTGTCTTCTAGAAAGTCCTATGAAGATGAACTCAGTAAACACAGTGCAGTTCTTAGCAGCCATCCGTCAAATCTTGAAATTCCTGGTTTGAACAAAGGAAATAGAATTGAAGGGTTTTCCCACCCTAATAGTTAAATTGCTGGACCTTCTAATTCATAGAAATTACAGGACGAGATAAACAGTGCTTTGACTGTATGAGGTAATGTGAAAAAAGGAAATGCATATAATTCCATTGTAAATAGATACGATGACTGTAAGAGTACCACTGACATTGATCTAACACTGCACTGGTTGTAACGCACTTTCATCCAAACTGTCAAGCTATTTCCACACCAAGCTATGTATGTTTTATATATTTTTGTTACTTCTATCACATAGCGAAGAAATTGATGCCCTCAGAACTTGAGGCAAAATAAGTTACTATTAGGGCCTCCCGGTGGCGCAGCGGTTGAGCGCTGGGTTGCGAAGCTGCCCGCGGCCTCTGCGGCGCCGGTTCAATCCCCGGCTGCTCCCCGGCCACCAGAGGAGGGTCCCACATGGCGCGCAGACCTCTCCTGCCTCCCGCTGCTCCCCTCAGCAGTGTACTTCGGTCCTTCTGCCTGCTCTGCTCCCCGCTCTGGCTCTGGTGAATTCTCTCACCCTCCCACGCTTCTGACTGTACCCAGTGCATGTATAAACAAACAAACAAACAAATAAATAAATAAAAAACATGCCTCTATTAAAAAAAAAAAAAAGTTACTATTAGTTCATCCAGATGACCCCATCTTCTGACCAGATTGTATTAATTTTGTAGAAATGAATTATGTCTTGTATAGAGAATCAGGATTAAGTTAAAGGTGTAGAAAATGAATATATGCCTTTGTAATCATCCATCATTATCCAGAAGCATGCGCAGGCAGAGCTGTGGTAGTTTCCTGGATATAATAACCCTCATATCCTCATATCTACCCAGACTCAATAAGCAAGATATAGAGATAGTCTGTGATCCAGGGGCCACAACAGCAGGGAGAGGTTGGTTGCTATGAATGGAGTGGAAGGGTCTCTAAGAGTGATACTCTGCACTGGAGAGACTGGTAAATGCCAGGGCTAACCAAGTCCCCCCTCTGAAAGCAGGTGGTGTTGAGAGGAAATGGAGAAGAACATTTGAGACTTAATCTCAGGGTTATTGATAACACAGGTGACAGAAGCAAAAGAAGGAAATGTGGTTTACTGCCTGGGTCCTTCTGTCCTAATTCTCTAAAGTCTACATGATCTACTCGCCAATGGATATGATGTGTAAGACACATGATAAAATTACTCCTACATCCACAGTGCCATGCCACATAGTCATGTCTGAACTGGGCCTCCGTGCCAGTTACCCAGAATCTACATTATTTTTTATTGTTTTCTTTAATCTATACTTTTTGGCATATCTCTAAAATCGGATGCCCTGTAGTTAAGCATTGGTTGTCCGTAGATGCCAATTGAAGTATCTCCCACTATTATATTTTACTCAAACCAACAATGCTGTACATGATATTATAAATGTATTCCTTGCTCTATAATATATGAAAAGTGAATTTGATGGTAGATGAGGAAAAGAAAAAGAATCTGAATAATGATCTAGTGATCAACATGCAGGTCTCAAAAACCTTGTTTTAGGTTCATTTTATACACATCTAAAAAAATGTTTTACTTTAAAATAAAATCCAATCAAGTACCACAGGGTTTAAACATAATTTTAAAAAGTCCAATCATTTCCACAATCTATGCCATCTCTTTTTAAATTCTGTTATGTTTTGGTGAATAACTGTTCATATTTAATATGAGCTGGTCTCATATTAAACACATTCCCAAAATAAAAACTGTATATATTAGATATAACTTATTGTATCATTATCTAAATAAGTATATTGGTAAAAGTAATTAAAATTAATGGCTATGTAATTTTTATGACACCTCTTGGTTTTATAAAAACAGAATAAAAAGAACTAAAGAAATCTAAAATTTAAATCAGAAAGGCAACATAAATAAATTAATACCTGACCCAGATCTGCAAGCTCTTTGTGCATGCAGGGCTGTCTTTGGGCTGTCAGTCTGGTCTCCTGACTGCCCTGGATTATATAAGCATCCGGAGTCTGGTCCCTGGGTATTCAACACCTGGTCTCTCAGGAGTTAGTGACAGGTACAGTAATGTGATTTATCACCAGATACGCAAGTAGGTGATTGAGAAAAAGATACAGAACTTTTCAAAAACAAATATTACTTTTATCCCTCTCTGTCTTACTGTATTATATTTATTTAGCAGTAGTAAATGTCTCCAGTCCACAAGCATTCCTTATTTCAAGTTCTCCTACCCCTATACATTTTATTTTGATCCCATATTTAGAAAGTAAATACACACTCTCTTTTGCTCACACACTTACATAGACACATATGCATAGTCTCATATTAAACACATTCTCAAAATAAAAAAACTGTATATATACATAAATAAATGTATATTAGATATAGCTAATTGTATCATTATACATATGCCCTCATTTTCATCACTATGTATGCTTATGATTAAAGATGCAAATGCCTGAGCAAAAGTAAAGGATTCATATCAAATAATTCCCATATAACTAAACACAGTTACTGAAGGGGGAGATTTGTTCTGGGAATCAGCCATGGGACCCAGAGCTTACAAATTCTTGGTGCTTAAAACCTAGGGAAGGTATTCAGCCTAAAGGTGAGGTACAGCAGTGGACAAAAGGCTGCACTAGGGAGGAAGACCTCTTAACAATGACAATGTATGCCAGGTCATAGATCTAGACACAGTTCCATTCAGTGTGGTGGAAACTGTCTATAGAAGCAGGCTTTGTGCATAGAGATCAGTGGTGATCTGGGGCTTCGGCCACGGTGGTCTTTCAACAGGGAAGTTGAATGACAGCTGAGAGTGGTGAGAACCATGTGTTAAGCAAGACAGACAGGTCATAGCAGTGCAGGGTCCCTCACATTGGTTACTAAGTGTTACATTTCAGACATTGCTCTGGGGGAGTGGTCACACAGGACGCTTGAAATTAAGTACTCTGGGATTAATTATCTATACTCACTTCTTTGCCATTGTGGGGTTTGGGACATAGAACAGTAGCGTGGTTTCAGGCATCTGACCTAGATTTTGAAAAGGTGTGGCCAGCATGGAGGGCTGTGAAGGAATTTCTATTTCTGTTCAGCTTTAGCCAAGGGTGAAGGCAAGGTCACTAAGAGAAAGTGTTAAGGTGGGTGGGCATGACCCGAGGCTCAAATGTGAACCTGGGATCAGTCAGCTGGGTGAACAGGCTCTGATGAGGAAAATGAGATCCACCTCATGCCACAATGCCACGATTAGACTATGCCAGGTCTACTGTCAGTACTAGGGATTTAGTCTCAGATGGGAAGTTAGGTGTTTTTTTTTTTTTTTTTTGAAGATATTTATTTTATTTATTTTCCATTTTTTCATTTTATATTTTTTTGTGTTACTTTTGAAATTCTGAATATCTCTGTCACACTCTCTCTCTCTCACACACACACACATACACACAGCTGCAAACTAACAAGTAACTAACAGCACACAGATGTTGTGAACTCAGATCTGTCTCCCTTTAAAGTCCAGTTCTTATCCTAAACTCTCCCATCATCATCATTTTCTTAAAAAGAAAACAAACAAAAAAGACCCCACCCCAAAACCTAAACATCTTGGTTTCCTGACCATGTAGAAAGACTACTAAATCAGTGACTTTAAAAGAAAAAGGTAAAGAAAAATAGCAATATCACTATTCCTTACACACATATGACACACATAGTCAGTGAATCTAATTTTACATAATATAAGCACATTTGTGTGGGTAATTTGTGTGGTTATGAATATATTTGATAAATTTTAATTAAGTGCATTGAGTATGGAAAGATATTGGACAATGACATTTTTTGAGAAAACTTCATATGTGAAGTATTCAATAAATAAAACATACATATTTGAAATAATAAAGAAAACATTTAAGAGATAATAAAATATTGTCTGAAAAGTCTATTCAATCAGTAATGCAAAAAAGTAACTGAAATTTTGCATTTTTAATGTATTGCTTCATTTTTAAAATACACAACTCTGGCCATATTATATGCTGAGGTAAAGAAAATTAGGGAAGAGAGCCTAAATGTAAAATCTGGTATTCTCTCTGCTCTTGGAAAACATGAGAAGAAACTTCATCTTCCTTTCTGGAAAACAGCTTAAAGCAAATAACTTTGTGAACCAAAATTGTGTCATGTTTTTGAAATCCCTAGTATAAAATGTTTTAGCATTTGCATAAAGCCCATATACCCATCCTTATACTTTAAATCTTCCTGGATTACTTAAACTACCTAATGAGATGTCAATGCTATATAAGTAGTTCTTGTATTACATAGGAACGACGGCATGAAAAAAAAAAAATGTCTATACATTTTCAGTGCAGATACAACCACAAAAAGCCTAAAAACAGGACATATTTTTTAATCTGAGTTTGGTTGACTCCATGGATATAGAACCAGTGGATAAGGAGGGCTAATTATCTTGTGTACAAGACAAGTTAGTGAATTTAAGGAACTTTGTGTCTAAAGTAGGAAATTTTAATTTTATTGTTATTCATTTACTACTTAAATACTTCTGGAAACTAATAAACAATGCTAGTAAAAGCAAGCATACAAACAAAACCAATTTAGCCAACTGCACTCCTTTATGTGTGAAGAATTTTACGAAATGTATTGATTAAAAATAATTGATACTTTAGAAGGTTGAGTTGAAGTGGGGAGGGGAAATTCTGTCGAGATGTACCACTGGGACAAACCCATGAGCACAGAGGGGAAGAGTCAAAAGTCTGTTTGCGAAACAACTGAATCCATTGTTATTTGGCTTCCTTTGCAGACAAAAGAAATATCAAAATGTGTAGCTCCATACATTAAAATTAATAACAAATATCAAGGCTATTTGTTGAGACTACAGGCAACTATATCAGAATATCTGATCCTCAGTGAACAGTTCTAAAATACTATTTTTTGTTATTAAAAACATTGTTGCATCCAGA